TGCAACTACATGTGGGAATGCAACTATTATGCAGTTCGATGGTTAGCTGTAAAAAGTATTCACTTTATAAAGCATTACATGCATTTCTGACTTATTCAGTAATAAAAAATGAACAAGACAGACTGGTATAATTCTTTACCTAATTGGAATTCAATAGTCAGATATAAATTTGTTATTGCTTTACACTGGACTAAATTGATATTATTATTGCATTTTGCAATTTAAAATATGCCATATAACTTGGTTACAGTAACTTACTTTTCAAGCTTGCTTTCGCATATAAAAAAATTATGTCCAGCAAATAGTTTTAACTTTGCTTACTTTTCAGATTGTAGCACAATAAAAAATAATGTTAAAAAGTTTGAAAATTAAAGGTGATGGTAACTACTTCAATAATATGTTTGTATACAATGGACATAATATCACAGTATCAAGTGCCATACTGTATGTACTCCCTTATAAGTTGAGTCCATTTGCAAACTGCACAGACCCAGATCATATCTGCATATTATGTGCTGGCAGATCAGGTTCTATGCAGTTTGACTCAACTTGTAATCTTGTATATAACCAGATTATAAAAGTGGTCCTTTGAAAAATTGACACTATATGTGTCAAAGTTGTGTCTTGAGAACAAGGGTGCAATGTTGAAAAAATTTCTGAACATGTTCATGGTATACAGTAACTGAAACTGCTGTTTAATTGAACCTGTTTGAAACTTAACCTTTCTTCTTATAAGAATATTGACGGCTGATGTTTTTTCATATGCATGTCATTAACAGTATTCATGCCATACTGTGCTTAGCTTGCAATTCTTTAATTGTACATTTGTTGTATAAAAGGCTTCTTTATGTAAGATGTCTTTGTTGTGATATTTTATTGTACTGCAATGTACTACATTTATTTATATGATGAAGATAATCAATTATGCAACCAAAGTTACCACCTAGCTGTGTGCATTGGCCAACATTAGCTGTACCACATTTATATTTGTTGACACAAATGTCAAACTCTGTAAACATTTATGGGCAGTAAACCAAACTAACCATTTTCATGTGTAAACATTCCTGCCTTACCTGGGAAAAATTGTTTATCTGACAAATATTTACCTTCCCTTTTGATTTACCATTCAGTATGAATTTTTTGTTATACACCTGCTCTAAATATTAATAGTCTTTTTGGCCTTGTGTAAGAATGATAATGCTGTTTATAAATCTTATTTTAGTGTTTCATTATATGCATTTTTTATGCAGACAATTCTAAAAACAATTTGCATATTTTATGCAGACAGTTGTATAAACAAAGAAATTTGCAATGCATTTATAATGTGCAAAAGTTTTAATTTAGCATTCACCGTGTTTATGGTATGTTTTAAGACATCATTTAATTTTGGACACCTTGTTTTTGGGGCGGATATAATACTTTATTGCCTTGTAAGATTCGGATGTTGCTTCGCTATAGGTTTTCTGCAATTTATGTTTTCAGACACAATCTAAGAAGATCTGCTGTGTCGTTTTAAAGTGAAATTCACAGCGTGTTTGCCATTAATTTAACTGATACAAAGTTAACTTCATTTGGTCGCCAATTATTTATTGTGATCATGAACTTCCATGAACTAAAATAATTTAAAATTTTAAATTGTATGTATGTATGTATGTATGTATGTATGTATGTATGTATGTATGTATGTATGTGTGTGTGTGTGTGTGTGTGTGTGTGTATGTATGTATGTATGTATGTATGTATGTATGTATGTATGTATGTATGTATGTATGTATGCATGCATGTATTTATGTATGTATGTATGGCTAACAAAAATATGGTTGGTTGTCAGTGTAGACATCGTTACACACGAAACCACTTCTAGGAGGTGTGACAGTTATGGCTTTGATTAGAAAACATGACGCTGCTTTCTATCATTAAACAATAGATCAGAGAGCATGGATTATTAAATTCATTGGCATCGTGCAACAAAACAAACCCCTTATGACTAAGACATTATGTACTATGGTTTATATGTAGTTTTTGTTCTACAGGTAATAAACCTCTTTGTAGATGATAAATATTGATAGTGGGTGCTACATGTTTGGTACATCTTGTGCTCTTTTAATGAAATCTAGATGGCTGCCTTTTTTTCTGAATACACATCAAAGAAATCCCATAAATTATATTATTAACAATTATCACCAAGACACCTTGAAATCTCCAATTGTCATCACAACAATCTTTGAGCAGTTGATTGTTTTGAGTGGACAAGCTCTGCTCATTTTGAAGCTACCCTCGGCTTGGTGAAAAAAAAAGGGAGAATCAAAACAAATAAATCACCATTATTAAAAAAATTCCAACATATTAATTATGCCTACTCGTATATTGCAACTTGTTTGTTAAATTTACTCTTCCTAGGCATGCGTACAACACTCACCCCATATGAAGCTTCTCATCCTTTGTATTCTAAGATTAGCCATCATGCATGTATCAGTATTTCTACGCTTGATACTAAAATATTTCTGTGTATACATCTTCAGAATTATATTTCCAAAATCTTTTGTTTTTAGTTAATAACTTAATTACATGGACGTAAAGCTCATGTACATCTCTAAGGTAGATTTTATTGATCACTGATTAGTAGAGGGTTAAACTGGATTGCAAGATTATTAATATAGCAGTTCTTTTGGAAAATATGCACACAATCAGGGCTCTAATAAATGTATGGCTGCATTTTCTGTTGGATGGACATAAGATAGACAAAATAGGCAAGTAATGCATTTTTCATTCATAATCCTTTCTGTGGTGTTAGACAAAATACTTGTTTTACTTCATGGCAGCATGTCATTATGTGAGCAAACAGTAACTTAGTTACAGACATGGAGGGGGGCAAAACTATCTTCCCAAATTAAAGAATTTAATATGTATTTGGACTACACAAAAAGTAATTATTGATGTCTGAAAACATGCCATAAATATGGTAGTCCAAAGCTGTCCGTGTATTGATACTCCTGTATACAGCACATTCAGTGTTGTATGATGACATTTTTGATCAACATCACATGTTGTCTCTATTCATGTATTGTTTCTTTTGTGGGTTTAATGCCATTTTTAGCTATATGATATATGACAGTCAGTACATTTGGTAGAGGAAGAACCCTTCGAAGATCCACAATACCATGGGAAGCTACTGTTAGCCAAGCTGAGAATGGAACCCACAAGATTAGAGGTGAGACACGAATGATCAGTAAAGGTGAGCACCATAGAACATTCACCTACTCAAGGCCCAAGTCTTGATTCAAGTTCCAGTTTTTGCATGCACGTTTGAAATAACTACTTGATCACTGTGTTAAACCCTCACTCCAATACAGCCGTATATGTAAATGTTTTGAGTATTAGTAATTCTGAACTTTACACTGGAGCTGTCACATTGTGTGCAGTTTTTTTTTTCTTTAAAACTACAATTTAGTCTTAAAGAAGATGATTGGCCAAGAAATAGTGTAATATAGCTCAACAAGCCCCATTTTCACTACCATTATCACAAATTTCTAGTGACTCTACTGAAAATTTGTCATCTTGATCATGTTCCTGAAAGTTATAGGCCTTTATTTATTGGAAATTTATGCGTGACAAAAAAATAGAAGGTAATTCCTCAACTTTGAGAAAATAATCCTATTACTCAGATGTAAAATTAGACATTGTTCGAGAATTAAGATACTTGATGATTTTGATCCTCGATTCCAGCTGAATAAAATATGAAAAACTGATGGTTTTCAGTGGAACAATAAAAAAAGACAAGGGGTCTGTTTATAGTACTTGAAACTGACTGAGATGGCAACCCATCCAAGGTATGACAGATAGATGTATAGACAAAAGCAATACGACATGCCCTACTACTGTTGTGGTGGAGCATTCTATTCAGAAATCACAATTTAAGCAAGAACATGGAAACGTTTAATGAAAATTTGGTCAAAAATATTGAAGCAAGAACACGTGGATATTTAATGAAAATTGGACCAGAATAACACCCTGTGGATCCCTATATTAGTTAAATTCAGTTTTAATTTAGATATATGTAAAAAAAATTGTGTACTTTTTGTTTTTAATGTCACTTGTTAACTGAAGAAATATTTTTTTAATATTTTTGTTTTATTCATAAGTTTAAATGTCTAACTTTGTAAATATAGATGTGAAAAATATTGTTGGAGTGGGATAAATATTTATATGTTGTTAATAAAGTATTTAAAAGTTCGTATATATAAATGTCTTTTCTTTAAAATATTCAGCTGGTTGTTTTCACAATTTCCATGACTTGAGAATCCATTTCATTCTCTTCTTTCTCCATTAGTTTCCAAAGTGCCACCTAGCTTTCACCAACAGCTATTTGGTTTTCCTATATTTAAGATTGTGTTTGACAGCTGACCAGCATCACCATCGAACATGGCGGGTGTATGTGTGTACCATGACTGATAATGCAGTACGACATGGAAACCTGTTGCAATAAACACTCAGAACATCCCACTTACTATGTAGAATGTTGTCTTGTACTTAAATATCTGATCACTACTCATGCTTCTTATTCTCATTTTTCCAGTAGTCAACTTTGCTGATTGGGTGATACAACATTGTTCTGCTCCCCAAGAAAGAAACACTAACTTCTTCACTAGTCCATATGTTTCCTAGTCAATCTTTCCTTGCAAGTGTAGCCATTTGACTTTATCTTTAACCCAGGTAAACATGATATATGTCAGATCTTGCTCTGGTTAGTGTGGTGTGGTGGTATTTATAATGTTTAACATAGCTTTAACAATTTTTCAGTCATATCGCTACAATGTCTGCAGTGTGGCAGTTTATAGTGATGTATAGCACTGGGGCATCATGCCGCAGACATGTAGCATGATGTCCCACCCAGTCATATTATCCTGACACCAGGCCTACCAGTCCTAACATTAACCTCTTAATGCTGAGTGTCAAGTGAGGCAGCTGTTAGTACCATTTTTGTAAGTCTTTGGTATGACTTGACTGGGGTTCGAACCCACAACCTCCCGCATCCGAGGCGGATGCTCTAACCACATGGTCACCGGAGCAATTAGCTCTGGTTAGTTGTTTCAGTAATAAATATTAATACCTCAATTATAAATGTTTTGAAAATTGATGAGTCAAGGTAGATTTACCACTTCTTATAGGCACTGCCTTTTAGGCTAAATAACATAAAGTACACTCAATCCATTTAAAACAAAATATTGTCCATCTCTGTTGCAGAGTAGCATCTAGATAACCATAATAAATTGCAAGACAGGGAAGGGGGGTTTAAATAAAATTTTACAGCCAGCATTAAAGTGTAACACTTGTTAGAAGCTCAGTTTTACAAATGTTCTTAACACAAAATTCATGCAATTGAAAGAGCAAATTTAGGCCAATATAACTTTATTGCTATTCTGAAGTCAAAATGATATATAATTATTTAAGTGTTTAAACTCCTGACCAGCACTGCAGATTTTTTTTGTCATAGCCATTTCCTAGTTACAATCAAGGGTAGGGGTACATATTTAGGTGATAAACTATTAAAAACTCACAATTTTAACCCGAATTGTTGTGTTTGCAGTAGATCTGAATTTGCCTTGCCTTATGGCTGGATAATTGTGAATGAATATGGCTGGATAACTGTGAATGAATGTATTTATGGTAAACAATCTGGTACTTGTGATGCTGTGTGGAATAAAATGAAAAACACTAAGATATTGATATGGCCACGTCTTGTACTAAGCATCGACTTTTATGTAGATGAAGGATGGAAAAATTGCCAAATTTGCTGATTTGACTTATACTCCACACGGACTTGTAGGCCCACAAATATGGCAGTATATACATACGTACCTTTGATTTTGCCCTCACCCCCCCCCTAAATTCTTGCAGGTGTCAATGATTGTATTCTTTGTAATAAACAGATTTGTTGACTGATTTACCTTTTCCTACCAATTTTGACTCGTACAATTTTTTCAATGTTTGAAAAAGTTAATGCATGAGAAGTTTTGAATTGCACATATTTTTCTCCAGATAAGAATTCAAATCTTCAGGAATTCCTCCAACAAGGCTGGATCAATTTAATTAAAACTATTATATCTCACAATTTTACTAATGAATTTATTTTCTTCCACATAATTGTTAAAATGATTGCCAATAAAATCTTGATTTTTATTTCACCAGAAAGTCATAAATTAAAAAGAATGCACAATAGATGAAAAGAGATAGTTGCATGTAAGTTGGTAAATAAAAGATTGGATAAAAGAATAAACTCAAAATAATGAACAATAAATCAATGTAGAAATGAGAAACTAATATAAGAATTTCAGAATATATAAATTTACACATGAGAATAAACAGCAGAATAATAAAGGAACATAACATTTCACTAAATGGACATTATATTTTTATTGAAACCTGATGACAAAGAAGGTTACTACTGAATAGGGTTAATTAGTCATTGTTTTTATTTCACCTAACAATAAAATAAGGATCTTCTAAACCAATAAATCACTTATCTCCTCAAAATATAATGTTCAAGCACCCAATGCCACTGTTTATCATAAATTTCTCCATTCATCCAATCTAACTAAAGTTTGAAAAGAAGGAAACAATTTGTTATACAAGCTGTCTAACAAACCATTCCTTGAAATAATCAAGATGTTCTTTTTAAATGAATCATATATTCAGTTTAGAATTAAAATGTAGTCAACATTGCTCAAAATTCTGATATTTTTCCAGAGTGCTTCAAAAGTATTGGTACGATACATTTGACAAATTCTATTAGTGACTAATCTAATAACATTCGTACTTGGCATAAAATCTGATTTTGAGAGGGAATGAAGAGAGGCAGGCCCATTGTTTTAGTGGACTCGAGAAGAAAATGTGTGCATCAAATAAAAAAATATGACATATCAATATTGGTGATCTATACATGACGACCAGTACGCTTTTATTTTTCACCAAATTATGTTTGCCACTAGACTATATGAATTACACTTTTTTTTACATTAAAAAATAAAAAAGCAATATCGTTATTTTCATTTTTATTATCATATCTTTAATACCATTCATATGGATTTGAGAATATTCTTAAAAAGGCGACTGCTGCATAAGAATAGCATAAGAGTACTTTCCTCATTTGCTATATATAACAATGTGACCATTTCTAAAAAAAACATTTTTTTTTTCAAACGTGAAGTTGCCTAACCAATTCATGGTATTGATAAACTAATTAGGTAGTAAACCAGTTTATATCTTTTAAAGAAAATTGCACCAGATGTTAAATGAAATGCTTTATGGTGTGAGTTGCTCATGGTATATGATGAAAAATGTTAGAGCAGATGGATCTTTGTGAACTTCAAAATATGTCAGATCGAAAAAAGGGACAAATCGGCACAGCTTTACTAACTTATAAGCAAGTAATGTAAGTTTTTTGAGCACCTGGCTATGATCATTGCATAATTCCAATTTATGATTATTCAGTGAAAGATACACGTGAATGCTGAATATAAATAAATTTTCAGTATATTTTCTATTGGTATTCTGGTTCTAATCCGTATGGATTTGGCCCTTTGTGACAAGAATTGTGACCTGCTGCTGAATCAGGTTAGTCATAAAAAAATGTTTTTCATTCATGCTGTAATTCTGGCATGCAATATATAGATTACACTTTTTACACCCAAATGAAGTTTTTTGCCTCTTATGATAATAACAATTATGCTTATACCTTTTGGGAGGAGGGGGAGAGGCGGTTGGGGTTGGGTAGCTAGTAATGGTGATCAAATGGGGTGATGTAATATATACTGAAGGTCAAACTTGGGCTGAAAACTAACATTATAATGTGTTAGCTTCTTATATTTACAATGGTGATGTCATTAAATCTTGTGTGCCAGCCTTCAACTGAAATCACTGCATCCACGGATGTTGCCAGTCAGTCGGGTCAGGTTTGGATTTTTAAGGTAGCTTTTTACAATTTTCAGTCACATCGCTACGATGTCTGCAGTGTGGCAGTTTAAAGTGATGTCTAGCACTGGGGCATCATGCCTCAGACAAGTAACATGATGTCCCACCCAGTCACATCCTGACACCAGGCTGACCAGTCCTAACACTAACCTCTTAATGGTCAGTGCCAAGCGAGGCAGCTATATGTACCATTTTTATAAGTCTTTGGTATGATTTGGCCAGGGATCAAACCCACAACTTCCTGCATCCAAGGCAGATGCTCTAACCACTAGGCCACCAGAACAATCGGATGTTGCCATGAACAACTTATTCTTACATATGGAAACTGACAGGGTTTCTCAGTTCACTGTAGAAATATCATGGCTCATAATGTGATGAAATGTATTGTCTGGTTTTAATGGAACCAAATGATGTTTAGGACCAACATCTTTCAAAATTCGGTATTATTCACATGATTTTGCAGATGTGACTTTTTGCACTTGACGGCAACATTGTGGCTTTAAATGCCTGTAAAACTGGTCTTTAAATGACATCAGATTTTATTTATAGCAATAAGGTGAATTCAGAATCTGACCTATTATTATATCTCATGGAAAGTAACTCAGCTACATCAAATGTTGATGCGTGAGTTCGAGTCCAGACTGAGCTAACGTGGGTAAGTGAAAAAGCCTGCCAGTAGCTTCTCGTGGGTCAGTGGTTCTTTCCGGTGATTTCCTGGTTTCTTCCTCCACCATTAATACTGGCCGCCATGAATAGCCTATCGTGTGCTGAAAAATGGTGTTAAGCTCAACAACAACAAAAAATCAGCTACATCAAAACTAGATCACTGTGACTTAACTTACACACTTGAGTAGTGTTATTCATTACAATCTCAATATTTTGGATCCTGTTTCACCTACACTCAAGAACACTGGCATCTAGATACATCTCAACAATACCAAAACTAGGTCAGTTTGAGCTAATTTTGCTGCTCCAGCATCATTTCTGTATTTTCATCTGCCCTTTCATTATTGCAAATTTGGCCCAACTACTAGAAAACATGTATAACAAAAAGAACAACTTGCTTGCTATTGGTTCCTGAGAAGTAGCCATAACTAGGTTTCCTATGGCAGCTGTGTTGGCAGTCACACTAGAAACAGTTTCATTTAAGACCAACTATTTATCTTACAAAATCTTAAAATTCAAATCACATGTCAATACTACTATCTTTTCAGGAGTTGTAGCAACAAGATTTTTAAGAGGACTGCTATGGTGGCCATGTCTAAGGTCAGACTGGTACTATTATTATTTAAAACCAGCTGACATCTCAACTCCTTTATCAAAAAGTCCATGTAGATATGACAATCCATTCAAAAGTAGTTTTTCAAAAGTAAATTCAAAATTGACACTGTATTAGAGGTCAGATCAGCACCATTTTTATTCAGTGCCAAGTACATATCAGAAGAAATCCCCATGTCAATAAGGATGGCAATGATGTAACATTACAAGGTGATGGCCAATTTTAACATCAAATACACCATTGCACCATTACTGTTTAGGACCATCTCCACATCATAAGAGCTGCTCCATTTAAACTTATATGGTACCCAGTGAAGGCAGTTTAAAAAAATATATGCCACGTATTTTGATTTCACAGAGTTCATATAAAATCATAAGAAAATTCTAAATTACATGTATGTATGAGTACCCCACCTTAAAAAGTGCCTTCCCAGGGTCCTATGTATGATTTAATGAAACAACCCTAAGATGTCTCTATGTTAAGATCCTATGTTGATCTGTAGGAATAACAAGATTTTCAATTATGTCAACAGGGTGGTCATACTGGATGTCCGAGGGGCATCTTTTTCATTTAGGACCAACTGGACCCTGGTCATGACACTGGGTCTCAATGAATCTGCTCCTTTTGTTTTAGTAGTTAATAGCTGCCAGATGCAGGATCATCACATCTTCTGGTCTTTTAAAAGAAGAGTTATGTAGCTCCAAATAAATTACATATACTTTAAAAAAAATAGAACAGTTTACCTCAAGATACAAATAACATCAAAGAATAAAAATGTAAGAGTACTTTGTACTTGTAAAAGACATCATAGTAGTATGACAACAAATTTACCACAAAAAAATGAATAGGTTTATTTTATATGTCAATGGATAACAATGACAGTAACAACAGAAGTTGAATACTAACTGATAACCATTCATTTTAACTCTTCGAAAATGAAGAGAATAGAATAAATGTAAAATGATATACATGTAAAACTAATTATATCAATGCTAAATCAGATCTATGTTACATATTTAAAAAACTGTTCAACATAAAATATGTCTGATACAAAGTTGTAAATTATACATACATTTTATCATACAATTAGAATTTTCAAAGACTTTCCCCCCCTTTTAACAGTAGTTCCTTTTTCCTTTATAAATACCAAAAGAATCTACCTGATCTGCATCTCCACAAGTGCTAATTAGATAACTTACTACTTTAACAAAACAAAAACATCCCATAAACATAATCCAGTAACTAAGTAATCAGAAACATAAATTACAATGGTTGATAATTTCAAAGATTAGGGTAATAAACCTAATAATCTGATAAACAGGAGCTACTGACAATGATGATATTGCCAAGAGCCACATTAACTACAATTTGCTCAACAAAAGAATTTTGTGGAATATTATTGCACAGGAATGCAGTAAAGCAAACTCATGGAAGGTCCCATTAATGTAAAACTATAGCTCAAATTTTTACTGAAAAAATCCAACAATCCACACTACTAAAGTGATGCTGCAGAAACCAAACTGGAGATTTGGCCTCAATTAGCATAATAACCACGAAAATTGTTTTGGAATAATGCTGGAAATGGAACTCATTCAAAGCCTCATTAACATAAATTTGCATACCTAATTTGGTTGAAATCCAACAATCAATGGTAAAGTTTTGCTGCAGGAACCAAAAGAGAAGAGAATGGGTGATCAGGTGGAATAACTCCTGTAAATGACATCCATTGCTCACTGGCTGCATAGTTTGGTCCCAATAAAGCCATTTTAGTGCTAATGAAACCTCTATATTATGATCACCTGTTTATGAATGCTAAATGCTATAGCTTCAGTTCTTCCAAAAGATATGACTGGATGCTGTAAAATGGGTGTAGTATAAACCTTCATACAATGATTTTGACAACTGAAATGCAAGTATTTATGAAGTTAGCTCCCTGTGATTGTCTGAACCTTTAAAAGAATTACAACATTGAAGTGTGTTCTAGTTTGCTTCAGCTGAAACCTGCTCCATTAAATTTGATCAGGAACAAGCTGGAATGACAACAATATTTTTAAAAGAGAGTTGCAGTAGCCTGCAGTGAAATATGTGTATTTCATTTAGAACAATAAGTCTTTAAGTGAAAATACCATATAAATATAACTATCCATATAAAATGAATATCAAGATGACTGCTTTGATGACCCTGCTGGACCTCAAATCTGAACGATTTTCATTTCAGATCATCCGTAAAGTGAAAACACTAGTAACAGCAGAATAAAGGAACTCTACTGCATGAAACATATACCTTTTCAAAATAAGTATAAAGAGATAAATACAAATGACTTAAATAACAACCAAGATACAGTACTATCTACATGTATATGACTGCACATTATTGTAACCAAAAACAAATTTATCACAAAAATACAAATATATCTAAATTTAAATGCCAATGGATGATGATCAAGGCATATACAATAAAGGTCAATACAAAAAACTGCCAAACATATTTTTTTTCTAAAATAACAATGATAAAAAGTGATAAAAATATCAGAACAATAAATATGTGAAAGAAAGAGAGAGAGAGAGACTTGCATAAATACTGACATAACATACATCAATTACGAAATTTTAAAATTTAAAAATGGATTTTATCCAAATACATCAATTACAAAATCATAATATTGCATTTTGTCCTATTTTGAATTTTCAAATAGTATTCCTGCCCGTCATTTTAAGAGTGCTTACATTTCATAAAATTTCTAAAAAGAAAGAACCTGCCTAATCTGCATCACCACATATACAAATTAGAATCAGAAACATATTTGTACTAGGAAAATATTATCCAGCAACAATATCAAAACACTTTCAGTCAAAAAGAAATAAAATATTTTCAAAAGAGAATCAGAATACTAAATTACTTTTTTTTTTTGGCATGTCCAGAGATGAGGGTACTGATCTTGTTAATCAGCAAAGACCAACCAACAACAATTTGCACAGCAAGAGTTTAATTATACTGGGAAACAAAGAATTGGAATGCAAGTGCTATAATTGCTCTGATTGCTGTTATCTTAATCATCAACATCAAGCTGCATGTCAAATTTAGTTCAAATCAAACAATTCTTGGTACAGTAACACTGCTTAGACAAAGTCAGATCTATGGTAAATGGGGGGGGGGCTTAATTCCCCTTAATAACATTGTGCAACGCTGGAAGCTGAACTCTCATTTCAGAGTCTTAATAACAAAGCCATATTCCAAATAACAAAAGTTTAATAACAAAACCAAATTTGGCTGAAATCCAACAATCCTTCATATAGTTATGCTGCTGAAATCAACTGTCAGGAGAATGGATAATCTCAGTGATGCTGCCAGGGTGTGCAAGTACACAAAGTGAACCAAGTTTTTAGGACTTTGTGTACTTGGAGAGCAGTGATGCTTGCACATATAAAAATGTACGCAGAACAGATACAATTTTCATGTCACTGATAACTTTAATGAGCTTGCTGCAACATAAGCTGCACCACTGACAGAGGTCTCATAGCACTTCTTGTGACATACATCTTTTATTCAAGTAGTCAACCATTTACACAAACTGTACTTTGGAATGACATCAATGGTTGTTAAACTAAATTTTGATTGGCATATTAGACCCTAGAATTGACATTCTCTCAGAGTTGGAAGAAGTTTTACATATGCTCCTAGGAAACCCAGAATGGTCCTGGATGACAATTTCATTCATGATGATAGTAATGAGGACAATGATTTTTGAAGTACATCAGATTATTATATGCTCATTTTATCTCTGTTAACTTTACAATGTCAGAATCATGCAGTATTTTATGCTACTGAACATCTTTATACTGCATGACATTTGCAGTTAAAAATAGTAGAGTGTATTAGGAACTTTGATAAGAAACCAAACGCACTCATGAAGTAGATGCTTAAGGTTTTAGTTCATTAGATTTGTTTGTAGATGAACTAAAGAAACAAATAACAACCATAGGGAACTATTTCCCTACTTGTTCAAG